TTCTAGATGTGAATATTGATCTACCACTGAAACTAGCCAAATGTGTATTCATTTAATATAACAACAATACCATATTTATTTATACCTTACATATTCTGTATCAGAATACTGTGTATGTCTTTGTTATATTTGTTTTTGCGCTTTTTTTTTCTTCTCCTTTGTCATTCTATAATCGAGTTGTTTTCCTTCTTCGACAAACAGGTGCTTTTAATGATAGAAATTTCTTCAACATACTCTTTCTTTCTCTCTTACGTTTTGCTTTGTAACAGCTGTACATTTTTCGTTTTCTTTTGTTTATAGTTTTGTTTATTTTTTTCTTTATTTCTGTATCTTGCCTAAACAAGCGTGTGGATATATGGTTCTTGTAATAATACAAGTCTATTCTATTTTTATAAATCATCGTAGGAGCTGCCATTCTGTTGTTATGATGGATAACCAAGCTGAGCGTGAATGTGTACGTGTGTTTTTAGAATAGAAGAATAAAAGAACAAGTATTGTGGTAAAAACACCGGTGTTGAACACTAGATAGAAGAAAAATTGGAAAGAAATCATTATTAAAAAATATGGCAATTTACGTCTTTATTTGTATATAAGTGTTTCTCTCTATTTGCATGCTATAAATACCAAACATCGAATTTGTTTTGTATATGTGCGTCCACCGATTTTTCTCTTCCTCCATGCATTTCTCTCTCTCTTTCTCTCTCTTTCTCTTTTGTGTTTGTCGGCTCGGTTAAGAGTAAATACTATTATTTTTGTTTTCGTTTTGTTAAAGTTGAATTATGTGATATATATATGTATGAAGTGTGTTTCAGGCATCTAAAAAGTGAAGCAGTTTGTTTTTTCGTTAACAGTACCTGATACTTTGTATATTTTAAATTTGTTTTTATTTATTTAGAATATATATAAGTAAAGGAGGGGTGTTATATTTTAATTTTTATCCTTAATGTAATTTCTAGTTTTGCCCTATGAATGATTAAACCAAGTTTTCTCAATAATCACTTTCCTTCTTTAATAACTAGTTATCAGAATCATCCTGTTTTTTCCTTTCTTTTTGTAACGAGAAGAGCATAAACTGTGTAAGAATAAAACGAGACGCAATTGTGTCTGGTAAATCACTATTTAAACTACTTTTGTGCTATCTTAAACGTTCATTTTCAATTATAGGACAATTGAATCGTTAAAACAGTCCATTTTGCTTGGTGCTGGAGGAAATAAAATGCTGATAAGTACCGTTTAAGTCCTTCCATCCTTAAGTTTTTGTTTCTCTTTCTTTCTCTCATTTTTTTTATGTGTATGAATCGGTCGAACTTCCAATATAAAATCCGGTGAATATGTATTTTTTTCGTGTGTTTATTCCTGCTTTTCTTTTTCACAGCATAAAACCTTTCTCTCCTCTACTTAATATTGCTGCTGAAGTATTGTTCTTTCTTTTTGCGTTTATCTCCGTCCTATCTTTTGTCCTTAAAGTTACCTCGATATATACCCCCTTACCACACATCTCGTTCTTTTTTTTATTCATATACTCACAAAAATGCATGCCAGGATGATGATATAACACGAAGTACTTTACATTCCTTATGCTTGTATTCGTTATGGTTCTTTACTATTGTTATTATTTTTTTTGAAATTCATTTATGAGTGTGTGTTGTTTTTTTTGTGGCCGGTGTTTAAGTTCGTTTTCTTGATGCTCTCCCTCCCATTCGCCTTTCTTTGTACTTATCAAATATTATTAAGATTTTTTTCTCGTGTATTTCTCTGGTAAAATGTCATGAGTAGGAGGAAAAAATTATTTCTTCTCTGTTATTTGAAAATAAACTTGTTTTGATCGGACGCAAACACAACCACAAAGAATTTATTAAATATCGTATTGTTTTTTTTTTTTGTTTCTTGTTTTTCTCTGGTTGTTGTATTTATATTTATATTTTATGGAAAAAATAAAGCAAATTTGAACATTTGATTCCTGTTGTGAAGGAAGACAATGTTGCATGTAGATATTAAACGCATTACTCTTCAAGTTTATGATCGTTGAGGCATATGTCATTTCCCTTTTGCATGAAGAAACAGCCCACCTAAACAAATAGAAAGAATTTTTAATATGATTAAGATTGAGTTTTCGTTCAGCATTTATAAATTTATGATCAAGAACAAGAATAAAATTAAAAAGTAAAAAAGAAAATATTAAAGGACGGGAAACGATTTCTGCAAGAAAATGGCTCAATATGATTTTGAGTGAAATTGATCGGAAGTACGTCCTTTTTCACTTCCCAACACTACTGACATTTAAAAACCGCTCCTAATCTCCTTGAAAAAAATTATTTTTTATGATTTTTCGTTGCCAGTTCAACGAAGACCATTCATTTTGTTCCTCAAATTTTTCTTACGATTCCAAAGACTTTGACCAAAGCCCATACATCGAAAGACAGAGAATTTTTTCGGGCTTCAAAATGAACTACAATATTTTGCTGTAAAAGTTTGCTCTCATAGATTTATTGGCTAAATACTGGATAGATATCTCGAGGTCCGGAATGACTTTTTGTACAAGAAAATGCAGGAAATAACGATCTTCAAACTGAAATACATTAGATTCTTTTAAACGTATACCTGGATAAATTTCCATACTAAATAGTACACACGTATCATGATTGTTGCTTTAACGTACGTGACAAAAGTTTGAACTTTTTCTTTTTTTGACTTTTTTTGTCAATCACGTCAACTTAAAGAACACTAAAGAATGCTTTGAGCAGCTGAAACATTGTTCTATCCGATGAGGCTAGAATGTTTTGTTGTTTGTTTGATTGTTCTAAATGATGAATGTAGCAAATTTGTGAAAATATATCCGTTTTCTAGCCTACCTTAAAGCTCATGGTACATTCGAAATTTTTGCTCCTAATTTTGCCGGCATGTAAAATATTGTTTCCCACATAAAATAAAGTTTTTTTTGCTTGGACTATTTGCATTCAGTATAAATGTTAAAACGTTCTTTTGTAAAAAATACAGATGGAAGATGTTTTTTCAAGAGAATATGCGATTCATATGAGTTTTCAGACAAACGTTATCAGTGATCCAAGGAAAACAAGGTTTCTCGTATATGTTTCAATATCTTCATTATGTTCAACATGGTCTAAAGAAACTTATAGAAGGTAAGTTTCGATAGGTGACAAAAGAATGTTGATAACACCTAGACAAATAATAGTTCAGGTGACTTAGAAAATTTCGTTAGTGACATACTAATATTGCTGAGCATAAATGCTATTGAACGGTATATTTTACGTTGTATAGCACTGTTGTTTTATTAAATCTGATTGTCTAATTCATCATTAAAAACTATGTCTAGTGACATATATATTGGCACAAATTTTAATGAAAGAAGAAAAAACCAGAATAAAAGTAATTTTTTAGCCTCCTACGCTTCCAAAAATTGAATTGTCTTTCGTATACAAATCACGTACAATTTTTCAGTTGGGTTAGCAGCATCGTTATAATAAAAATATGAACCGTGAATAGTATGAGTGACGTTGCGACACATTTTATATTCTCTTCAAAAGACACAAAAAAACCACTTAACCCCATCATTATGAAATATGAAAACTAATTTTTTTATTTTAATTATTCTTAGGTCTGTTTAATATTATTAAACATTATCAAATGATATCTAATCTTGATTCAATCTGTTACTATACATTTACTTGTTTTTCATTTCGATCAAACGAATAGTCTAGAAGAAGAGCATCCTATTGACGAATATGTTCGTTTTTTTCGGAATAAAGGATTTATGAAGTTGTGATCGACAACAAGAACAAGAATAAAATTAAAAAGTAAAAAGAAAAACATTAAATTTTACCGAATATTGTTGTATATAACATTAAAAGCCTTTTTAGTAAAACTATTTTTGATTAATTTTTATAAAATTCAAAAAAGATGCAAAAATGAAATACACTAGATTTTCATTGTTTGTATAAAAGCTATTTTTCATTTTTAAAGCAACATTTATAGAAATCAACTGGCTAAGTTTTTCTGTGTGCAACAGACTAATTTTGGGATTTATGAGATGAAGAATAGTAATTATATAGTTTTTGAGTAATGAAAACATATTTATTGCGCATAGAAATGTCCGTTTCACCTCTATCGGTTTTCCAAATTGTACAGACATCGACCTAATAATTTTTATTAGAACTTTTGTATGAGATTTTTGTTATTTTGAACTGTTTTACAGCTAATAAAGAAAAATTGTTGTGAATACACATTACACCATAGATCATTTTCCATACTTCCAACACATATTAGTATAACGAGAAGGGCAATGTATATACAATTTAAAAACTCAACAGTAGTAAAATGGACGTCTCTATGCAGGAGACGGTATGGCTTAGTGGTTATGATGTTCGTCACGTACTGTGTTTAAATTTTGGCGTCGTCAGGTCATGTAATAACCTTGGACAAGTTACTTATATCTTTGTGTCTCGGATCACTTTTCCAACAGCATATTCACTACATTGTGACGTACAATACAGCTCTACGGCTACTTTGTGTAGCTCTCCAGAAAGATAATACGTGATTAGTGAGTGTGTATGGGAAGCTCAAGTAATTGAGTGAAAGAACTCTGCATCAGGCTAACCAGCTATGGTTGATGACCAGTAACGAGATGGATGACGATGTCAGAAGCTTGTCAACTACAGGAAAGATATCAGACTATGGAAACTGCCACTCAGCAGCATCCTACACCGATAATGGTAGCCGCAAGGCGAGATATTCTTCTTTCTCTAAGTAGAACGATGTTTTAACTGTTATTTTCTTTCTAAAACGAGAATAAATAGAAGCGACGGATGAAGAATAAATAAATGATAACCATTAATCTTTCAAACATACAGCTAAGATTATTTTGACACCTTCAGCTCTTATAGACCGAAGCATAATATCAGAATTTTTTTACTAAAATATGGATGAAAAAAAATACGAAAAATCTAATTTGAACACGTTAGCTAGAGATTTTCTCTCAAATATGTACAGACTCTAGCTGATCAGCAATGGAATTAGTTATTGTTTCTTGTATTTGATCGATGCAATCGTCAGATTTTAATTGTTTGTACCATTCATTTTTCTTTCTACGCTGCGAAGAATTGAGAATGTAATGATGCAAAATGATATGAATAGGATAAAAGGAAGATGAAGCAAGATAACAACGCGGTAATGGTTTATTATCAAATACTAATCGTTCAAATCGAATATTGGATATTTGATTAATAAATCGAAATTTTGAATTGAATGGAAATATTCGAGGGTTCAATAAACCAGAATTGGATCGTGCTACTGGATCATTCAATCGATTAAAGCATTGAATGGAAAATTTTAAACATGATTCATGAAATTGTACGTCAGAACAATCACAACGATGAGAAACAGATGTATCTGAATTGGAGATGACATTCAATGTTTTATCAATTAAGTTTAACTGATCTATGGTTAATCGTTCATCAGCATCGAGAATTAAGATATGACTTGGCTGTTCATGATGTTCTTGTGATCCAAATAATTTCCATGCCCATTCGAGACTTTCATTTCTTGCTTGAGCGAAACCCATAAATTTAGGATGAACACTGCGTCGAACATGAAAGTTCAAATTGTGATAGAATTTCGATGAATGTGATTGAAGTTCTTGCAATGCTTGAAAAGTTTGATCGGTACTTCCGGTATCAATAATAATGGCATATTTCAAATATGGCAAAATTTGATGACAATATTGAATAATTCCTCCCGATTCATTGTCAATTTCATTCTTAACAATCGTGCATAGACAAAGTTGAGATAGAACTAAAGTCATTCGTTGCAATATATTAATTATCTTATCTATATTTTTTGTACATTTCTTGTTTTGGAATAAAAGACTTTTGCGTACATTTTTTTTAGATCTAACAAAAAACAATAATCGAAATCAATAACACCTAGTTATTCATTTAAAAGCAATATAAAAAGCACCGAGTAAACTTTTAGACGTTCTTATGAAATTCACCAATATCAACGAGGGAATAATCATTTAGAATTAAAAAACAAAAGTAAAAGCAAACATTGATACAAACATAAAGGATTACCCATAAAAAAGCAAAAACACAGTCAAAACGATCAAAATGACAGGTTATTTGTATATATTCTCTTTTTTCAGATCTACGTATTGGTAATATTCTTTCTTGGTCGTATGTTGATTTTAATTTGGGATCGCCTTCATTTCCAATAGATCCATTACAATTTTTTTCCCACATATTCTTGAGATCCAACTTCACATGCTGCACCACAATTTTCGTTTTTTAATTTGTCTTGCTTATCATTACTTCGTACTGTGTTGGTATGTTCGAAAAAAGAAATTGTACTGTGTTTTCCTGTCATTGTTAAAAAGAACGATTTATCAATATTCTTTCCAGTTCTAATTGTTGTTCTCTTCCAAAATGTTCCATTAATTCTGTAGGTTACTGTACAACATTTCTCCTACACTTAGAATATTCTTTTTGTGTGTTACTTTTTTCGGTTTTTTTACCCAAAGATCAAAAACGGGATTATTTTGCAGGACCATCTTGTTCAATTAAAAAAGTATATTTTTACATGTGTTAATTCGTAAAAACTTCGTGTTTATGCACAAATGTAATTAGTCAATAATTCCAATTGTTTTAACAATTTTAAAGATCAAAATCATGTAGTAATGATATTAAATTATTTTTTAATAAATCAAGTGTGCAAATGTTTTCTGATGTAACAAAATCATCCTACGACAAAAAACAAACATACTACAAACAAAGAAAAATAAAATTAACGAGAAGGTAGTTTCTGCAACTCATACAATTTTGATTG